AAACCGTCCGATCCGATGTCCGACCGCGCAATACGACGGTCGGAGGCGAGGGGTCTCAACGCTCTCCGATGCTACGAAAACCCTCTCCCCCCAAGGTCATTCCGGCAGTCCGCACGTCGGATCGGAAGGTACATGTGTCTCGCGCTTAAAGGTATCTGCATGAAACCAATTTCGGTGTGGCCATAGTGACATTAACCGAAAAGCATTGTTAGTAAGCAAATATTAAAAAATATTCCAGACGAATTTCTCGAAATCTAGGCATTTATTCAAACATCGGTCGTAGCCTAGTTTAGAACATAATGACGTTTGAGTTTTGTGAAGTTTTAGATTAAAAAGTTTTGTTGCAGTCGAGTTTGATGATTCGACTTCAATATTATTTCTATATAAAAAAAGAAAACATTCTCTATTCTTACAGGCTCTATATTATTTATTCGCGAATCAAATGCAACTTCCGAAGAATGCCATCGAAGATGTGAATGCATTTATGAAAAAAAACTGTAATATGACTTTAGAAGAACCTCCATATAAAGGCACCTGTCGCAAGGAAGGTCCTCTTCGTTGTTTAAACTGCTCTACGTATATAAACTGTAGTCTGCATCTGTACGCCGTCATAAAAACTCTAAAATAAAAATTTGAGTCAATAATATATTATAGAAGAATCATTTCCTATATTTCTGATCTAAAATAAGCATTTTCTTTGTCTTTGAGTGCTACCTGCAACCCAACCAAGGCCCCGGCATTCAAACCGAACCCGTGCTTGCGTCATCATTCTCGCGCGAGGAGATGCAGTCACTCACGGCGTTGTAAATGTAATATTTCACGTTGAAGTGAAAGTCTACACACATTCGAATACACAAGTGGTTCGAAAACCTTGCAAGTTCAAAGTCGTTGTTTTCAAAAGCCACATTTTTTATTGGCACATATTTTTTTGCAGTGAAGTATTGAAGTGCTTTATAAGATATAATGATAGAACTGTTAAAATACGTTCGTGTGGCTGCCTTTAGACCCTCAATCTTTAATGTGCGCGACTTAAATCTCAATATTATAGAGGATGTGCAAACGCACACCCGTAGAAAAAAAAATTATTTCTTAATATTTTATTTTATATCTGGCATTCCACTTGTTCGTTTAGTGCTCGTACTAGGTGCTTTTTACTATACAAATAATATACTGCTGACCAGCACGAAATGCACGTTACAATACACTTTCAAACGCACATCTGAGGAGATTCAAACATATGTTATAATGAACATCTTACGTTTACCATAACATGGCTGCCCTTCTTGCACGTATCATGTCCTTGATACCAAGCTTTGAATAGCAAAGGTACACTTTTTCTTGAGTTTTCGAGTTAGAGGTGAATTCTAGAGGACTTTTTCCATGAATTTGAATATCATGTCCGTTTTTGCCCGAAGATGTTACTAAACTCGAGAAAACACGAAAAACCTCCAAGCAGTCGTTACGTCATACTAGGATGTTTCGGCCGCCAAGCGCGCGTCGCTCGTGTGGGCAGCGCGTACAATTTCAAGCCTCCAAGGCATATTCCCGGGCACTGACACCATTCGTGACGCCTTTTTCAAACTTTCTTTTTTTTTTTAATAGCAAGAGTTTGCGTGCATAGCTTTGATAGGAGCTGAAGATGCGCGAAAGCGGAGAATCGGAGAACTTCTAATATGACGGCACGCTCCGGGAAATCACTTCAACGATACTTTGAAGATTATTTTATGCAGACTCCGTGCACCGAATCAAAGAAATAATCTCAATATTCGGGATCCTGGAGGCAAAATAAAGACAATTAAGTTGCTTCTCCTCAGATACAGAACCGCTTCAGTTTGCTTTCAAACGCTATTCTCCCCCAGTCTTGGGGTAATCATGATGTTCGTATTTTCTGCTTCTTAAAACTCGCATCTTGTGACTCTCATCTTTAGCTTGGAATTTCTTGCTAAACCACTGGTGAGCCACGCCTCATGACTGTGACAAGAATTAATATAGAGCCCTCCTGTGAAACGGCTGCTATGTTTTCAATGGCGCACACACACCACCTGTTTCCGTGCCGCTCAACTCACTAGACTCTAGAGTAACAATAAAGTTCAGCGTGTATATAAACAAGCTCTTCCTGCGGCAGTTTGCGCTTTTCTGAGCGACTTTTATCACACCACATGGTACAAGTGTTGCCCTGGATTGTTGTTTACTCTGCGCCTTCCATTCTATTCAATAAATCGAAGAAAAAAGAAACAGCCAGGAAGCAGATATGAACAGAAAACGATACGCACTTCAAGAGAAAAAAAAGTTGAAAGTATAACAAAACGACTCATAAGAGCAGACAAATGTTTGGAACAATAATAAAATACACTTCTTTTTTTTTTATGAATACGTCTCAAAAATAAGCAATGAACAACCTTAAACTAGCATGGCCCAACCGATGTTTGATATAGTCTTTCTATATAGATCTAGCGTTCTTTTGTTTCTCTCTTGCAAGATTTCTTAGAGGGGTTTATAGACCTATAGTCTTGTTTTCTGAAACTCGGATTATGAGAATATAATCTGGGTTTTCGCATCGCCAGCCTTGTGCCTGCTGCATGAGTGGTAACTTCAGAGCATTCCCGCGCCTCACACGTTCTTAAATTCCTTCTAAAATTGACTCATTCAAAGATTTTCAATGACGCTCAACCAATTTGTAATCGGTGACATGTCTTTATTCTCTCTAATTAAAATAATAATAAGTAAATTTTAGTTAATGTATATATTACCTATTCAGTATTGTATTTTGTATTCCCTCACGTCCGCCTCCGCTAGCAGTTTCTTCCAGAAAAAGCTTTTTTTCCTTCTCAACCTCTCTATTGGTATAAATTTTTTAATGTCTTCCCGAAAACACTCGGTATTTTAATTGCCCATTCTTCATAATCATCGCATACTACAAGCGTTTCTTTCCTTGTTTTTTTTTTTTTTTTTTTAGTCAGCTTTTATATTGATATATAATTCTTTAAAAACCAGGTCTCAGCTTTAGGTCTACCCACTATTCCCTCCAACCAGAGCTGGGAGTTCTGACGTCCCGGTGCGCTCTCGTCTTCTCCTCTCCCTCGGTTTCTCGGCGCATAAGAACGCCGAAGTACGAATCCTGAAACGAGAAGTATAAACATTTTGAGCCACGCCCTCTATTTCCTAAGTTGTCAGCCACTTTACCTGCCTAACTGTGGGCAGTTTTGTAAGCTTCATCTCAGTCTTTCCTAAGTGACATATCATGAATTGATTGATGTTCTCCAGATGGAAGCGAGAAAAAAAAAAAAAAAAAAAAAAGGGGGCATTGTCACCCCTGGGGCAGTGCAACGGCTTTTTTAAAAACGCGCTGCGGCAACTCTGGAAATTCCCCAAGCCGCAAAGGTTGTCCGAGCCAAGCGGTTTAGCCCCCATTGTGTTTGCCAGGTGTTTCGCGGGGCTGCAATGCCACATGTCGACCTTTCCCCGAACCGGATATCGCTTCCCTGTGCTGACCTTTTTCTGTGCCGACTGAACCTTGTTCGGCAGCGTGTTGTTGTTTTCAGCTGCGTTAGCCCATACGCCGTCAGCGACCACATTTTATCTGGATCCGTATTAAAGTATAATTCGCCGAATAAAGAAAAAAGAAAAAGCTGCGGTATACACAAGGGCGTAGCGAAATGCCGGAACAGCGTTACGAGAATGCCGCCATTTAAATGTTTACTCATTGCAGCTGCGAGGAGCAAAAAAGAAACAAAACAAAAAATGAAAGACGTTTACAACACCCTGTAACGCCGAATTAGACCGCAGCTCTTAAGGAGGAGGAGGGTATAACGCTCCTTCCTCCTCCTCAGCCTCCCTGCTACTCGTCCTACTCCTCCCCATGCCCTCCTTTTCCTCCTCCTCCCCTCCCCCTCCTCCCCTTTCCTCCCCCGAGCGTTGCATCATGGGAAATGTCCCATTACGCACCGCGCGGGACCCTCGTGACGTCACACATGACGTCATGAGTGACTTCACGAGTGTCCCGCGCGGTGCGTTATCGGACGTTTTCCTTAATGCACCGCTCCGTTACGCTAACAGAGACGGCGACGCCGCTCAAGCCGGAAACGGGCGCCTAAGAGCTGCGTTCTAAAAGAAGAACGAGGATTATCTCAGGAGCATTTAGGCGGCTGCAGCATGCGCATGCATTTCTATCCTTTTTTAGTTTATATAAAACAGGGTTCAGACGATGTAGGAGCTTTTGTCTAAAACAGGTTGCGTTTGAAATCTTAAATACCGAGGAGAAAAAACGGCCCAGTAGACACTATCATAGCCTCCTATATGCTGACAAAGCCTAGCAGATCGCCACGAGAAGCGGCCGCCAAAATGGAAAAGGTGGAACGGCAGACGATGGATGAGAGGAGAGCCACTTGACTGCCGCTCCGCTGCGGCAACACGCCGAAACCCGCTCCCGAGCAAACAAGTGTGTTTCGGGCCCCCGGCGCTGCAAAACCTGTGCGCCCACGTCTAGGTTCCCCGAGGAATGGCTCTTTGACGCTCTGTGCTACCAGATCCTCGCTCTCCGAATCTGCGACCGGCACTCTATGGTTCCGTCGTCGAACTGCCAGGCTTTGTGAGTATAGAGGAGGCTGTGGCAGTATAATAAGATCGAAGACTGACCTTCATCATATGCTTATTTTTTTCACTAAAAATAAAAGGGCGTGCTAGGAAACCTGGCATTTATGCAGAAGGATTTTATATTGCTGGTTTTGTTTCATTAGATACGACTTTAAGGTGTGTGTGTGTGTGTGTGCGTGTGTCTTTGCTTTGACGATGAAATATTAGAAAGATCACGTTATTTTGTAAGAAGTGGCGTCAAACCACGTGGCATATCTCGAAAAGAATAGGACATAGCTGGTCAAACTGCTATGCCGACGTTATGTTACTGCTGTCCGATAAGTTCGTGAGACCATAGAATATAAATGGTGCAGCGTTGGCTATCATCTGCTACCATATTTTTGTATTGTATCGAAAGCCAAAGAGCAATGTTTCGCATATTTGCTGTATGCGCAATGTCCATCCTTGTTGGCGTATGCGGACAACCTACGGTAAAGAAACCCATCGAAGACGATCCCGCATATGCGGAATTCCAGCATGCACGCGAGGTAAGTTTTCATTTCTTTGACCATTTAGCTGCCATGTACCACACGACATCTAAACATTGCGTCTCAGAATTCTAAAGCTCCAAACAAATTTGTTCCACCTACTCGTTCTATCAAAATTCCGCATGGAAGAAGCCAAAATTTTATCTCAAAATCACCCCCCCCCCCTTTCTACTAATTTCACACATCTTCATAGAAGTCCCCCCACTCCCTCTCTCTTCCAGCCCCCCACCCCTATCCCCAGACATATCCAGACCACGACGATAGATGGCGCTGTCGCCCTTCCGAAACAACGGGGAAAACAGCGAGGTTGCGTGCTTCCAGCAGTTCTAACTACGCAAACGCTGTCGGCTACAGGGCCACTGAATATTTGCGGAGAACGATGCATTCGCTTGTAAAGTATCTGAGCAAATCATGCAAAATTCACTCTCCATCTAATGAGAGAGAACGGCAAGCTCCAAGCGCTGAGCACAGTAGACGGAGGGCAGTCGCAGCGCGAGAACAGTAAAGGGCGCTATAGACCACGACTATGAGGCAATGAGAGCAGCGCGTAAACAGGGCTGGGCACTATCGCGATACATTTGTATCGCGATAGTATCTCAGAGATACGTTCAAGGATCTGTATATCTCTATTGAGACACCTTTGAAATATATATATTTGTATTTCAATAGTAAAATACATTTGTGTTCGTTTTTTTTTTTTCGCTCGTATCGCGATACTCTGCCAGTTTAAGGGATCCTGTTACATTGGTCGAAAATTAAATGTCGTGTTTTACAGTGAACTGAACACCGCTTTTCTGGTGCAACGGGTCCCAGAGTTTGTAATCCGAACTAGGTGCATACCCTCCTCTACAGGGAGGAAGCCTGGTTGCCTATATGCCACAGAGATCAAAAATTTTAAAAAAGAAATACAAAAACAAAAATAAATGTGTTTCCCGGAATGGTCACTTTTAAGATCAGTAGGATAAGCTCCTTCAGAAAGCTTTCTACACTTTCCACTTTAGCAGAGCAGACGCTGTAAAGGAGATTAGTGGAGAGGAGGAAATCATCAGTCATGAACTGTCGCGAAGTTTAGGAAGGCCTTACCTTCCTGCACGGAACCTGTTCAGGTCTTATGAAGACAATAGACCTTTTTCGTTTCATTTTGTTCACAGTCACGTGGGTTCTCGTTTCAACCTAGAATGAGCGAGAAAATAAATATAGCTGAGGCAAAACAAGAACGTGTGACAATCACGCGTTTTTCGTGAACACCTTCCATCGGCAAGGAAAGCCCAAAACTATGTTTTAACGCATACCAGAAGTGACGACATTCAAGATGACTGGGCCCTTGTGGAAATGGCGTATGGTCGGTTACTTACATCTTATAATTTCAGGGTAAGCTCCCACCCATCTCTTTGCACCTTAGCAAAGCGAACACCTGGGAGGAGGTCGTTTTCTCTCCAGCGTTCGCTGTGTTGATGTGTAAAGTGGGGGGAGCATCCCCAGAACTCTTAACCCGTCACCTACTTTAGGTCTGGCTTTGCTGTCCAATCCTATTGTCTCTGGTGACTCGAAAGATCTTAGGACGACCTTTTCAACAGCCCTCTAACGGCCAAGAAAGGGAAGTTTATTTTGGACAGACGTTTTTTATAGAGGTTGCAAAGCAGTCATTTGTCTCAAATTGTTCAATGGAAGCCATCATTTTTTTTTCGGCATCCGGGATTGTAGATTTGAATCGATAAAAAAGGTTTGAGGTAAGTGAAGGTGCGTAAGCTACACATACATGGGAAAATACAAACCCTGCCATTTGCGTTCACCACGAATTGCACCCTATCGCACTCTGCTCGGGGGAAAAATAGTTTTATTTCTGTACGAAAGCCTTTTTTGCCTTCTGTGCAGAATTATGTCAGGAATCCCGCCGCATGTAAAACAAACGTATCTCAGTCCCTGCATTTTGGCCTTAAAATACATATATCGCAATATTTGTATTCCGGAATACTTTTGGCGTAACTCTGCCCAGTCCTGCGCGTAAACGCCAAAGGCATCGAGACCTTCATACTAGCGAAAAAGAGGCGCATCTTGTGAATACATTCTGAGAAAGAACACATCTCCTGCAACTATTCTACTAAAAGTAAAGCTCTGAAAGTAAATATCCTAGAGCACATCAACTAGAAAACTATTTCCTAAGACATATTTTTTAACAGAGCAACAGCTGCCGCCGTCAATCGCAATAAACATTTTGTTGTCATTTGCATTTCCTTTCTTCTCATGCTAGCGCTATACAAGAAAAATTTCGCTCGATTTTCAGGTAGAATTTATAAATGGCTGAATGGAAAGCGCCGAATAAACAAGGATGAAGAAGGGAACAGAGACGAAGTGGGAAGCGAAGAGCAAAATTTATGAATACTACCTCTCAGCTCTTTGTGAGATGCTTACTAAAATGCTGTCGCGATAAGTTAAACCAACAGACTGTCAAAATTACACATTCGAATTCTTTAAATATTTCTGTCAACAAATAAATCTGGGCTGTTCTTTCTGTCCTTCAGTTCCGTGATCCAGGAGAAAAGCTTTTCATAAAATACACCACATATCAGACTCCTCGTGGGGCCGATTGCTTCTGGAACACTGTAGAGTGCGTGGAGCACCGATACATGCTTCAACTTGGAATGAGAATTGGCGGGAAGACGTAATGCTCACTTTATCACTCTTAAAAGTCATTGCAAACTTAAGAACAATAGGATGTGGCCAGTTGTTATAACGTGCTTCACTTCACCTGGATTGACTCCTCATGGTACGTGTTCTACGATGCTGTGGTTTTTCAGGCTGCCAAGTAGATAGTTGTGGCTGGACACGTCCAGGCGTTCTTGCGTTATCAATGATTATAAACACTCTCTATCGATGATGATATTTCGAAGATCTCCTCATAAACACTCTTGCATTGCACAGAATTCAATTTGAGACTCCGCTCCTGTTCAACACCAGCGAAGGACACACCCGGCCGAACGTAATCTTGCATAAGCTCACACCAAGTATGCAACCAATCATCTATTTATTTATACATCAATTTAAGTTGAAAACACATTTTACGTCCCGACAAGAACAGTAATCATGAGCTGCCATATTCGCTACCCGCGGACGCTGATGTAACAGATGCAGTGAACGCGATCAATGTCCCATCTGCCTCATTTTTGATTATCATGATCCAGTGTCAGAAACAAATACAATAAACTCTTAATGGTCGCGCCGTTAATATTGTTATTATTTAACCCTCGCGATTTACGAAAATACATTTAAACTTCCCTTCATCATTCGTCTAAAGTTAAGTGACCTCCGCGTGCTTTGTGAAAACATAATGGACCTTTTCCAAATACCGACGGCACCAGGCGGTGGCCGCACGAACTAAAAATCAAGGAAGTGACCTACCTGCGCTACCATCGATAATGGGACCTACGTTACCAGTTGCTTCGCTCTCTGAGCAGTGTCGCGTGCCCAACGGAACGAGGTAGGCCTAGTGCGACTTTAAAGAAGGAAATCCGTAGCGTCCACCCAAACGTCGTGTTTTTCTTTCCGTCCACTTTCTTTTTTTGTGTAACACAATTATATATATGCTGCAATTCCGTGTTCTACTCGTCGATTTACAGCCTCATTCCGAATTTCCTCGATTTTTTCGTGCTGACTTCCACCGCTTGGCATCGGGCGCTCGCGCGTGCGCAGAACGCTTCTCGGAAAAGGTCCATTGCCTTGACCTTGCGTATACTGTCCGAACTGCGCAGAATGCTAACCTGAGGGGCTGCTTAAAAGCGACATTTTCCGCTAAATTTCGCGGGCAGCAGTCACGTGACACCAACTACGTCATTACGCCACTTGCCGTGTACTGCAACAGAGTGGTATCACATTACACGCTGATGTCAAGACGCATAGTAACGTGAAACTGTGAAGTGAAGTAACGTGATCACGCGACATGTAGCGTCAAATTATGGGTCACGTGACACGTCACGCCAAGGTACGGGGTCACGTCACGCTGAGACGTCACGTCACGTGACCGCGTAACCCGGCACAACCACGTCGTTGTACCCGAGTTATTATGTTTTGTTTTGGTTACAACTGTTTGTGACGCTCTATGCTTAGAAACTAGCTTTCATAAAGGCATCATTCTGCTTTAAAAGTCAACGCGTAAGCATGATTTCTAGAGCAGAGAGGGAGACCTTTGTTAGAATTTGGGTGCCGTATGTCATTGGTGCACTATGTTTTTGAACGTTGCGAAAGGCTACAGATAATATAATTAGTTCAACATAAAATCGTGCTATTCTAATTATGAAGGGACTGAGGAGAAATACCGAATTGACACGGGGACAATATATTCATCTTGTTACTTGACACGAAGGTCTGCATGACCCATTGCAGATGACACTGAACCTAGAAGATTTCCCTTAATGTATCTGAAGCCGACAGGAGATTGTTTAGTCGTGAGAGTTCCAAATCAAAATAACGGTGAGTGCAAGCAATACTGAGTGAAGTCAAGCTTACACTTCTTGTTTAATTATGCTACAGCATGTACATTAACCTTTCGGAGCTTTTTTAAACGGTCCGCAAAATTCGGTTTCTCAACGTATCGCACGTGATTTACTACAGAGATGTGGCACTATGGTGGATATTTGGAGCGAAAATATTAACGGACAAAGTTGCATCTTTTAAAAAAGGAAAAAGAGGAACCTGTGTCGGGTAAACTAGGACGGCATTCGCAGACAGTGTCAAAGCGTTGCTAGCCGACTTGTAAGCGATGCCGACAAATGGCTAGGGAACGAAGATTTGTTTTGAGCTCGCCCTTTTCACAGGGAAAAGCCGCACAATCATCATCATCATTACCACCACCATCATCATCATAATCATCATCATCATCATCATCACCACCATCATCATCATCATCATCATTAGGATGCGGTGCCTCGCCCGATTATTTCTGGACAAGAAATGGGGGGCTCTCGGCAATTTAAATACCTCTTTTCGTATTTGTTTACTAAAAATTTATGATCGCACATTGAAAATGGTACATTAAAGAGACGCGCGCTCAGCTGAGGAACAGTGCCTGGTAAAAGTTACGAAGATCTGCCAAGCTGGGCACCGGGGTGTCCTCGACGCTTCCGACATCTGTCATTGCGGACGGCATTGCGCTTGCAATGCCGTCTGCAAATCCCGCCGTAGATTATCCGAAATAGGGTTTGTTTGTTTGTTTGTTTGTTTTTTCAAAAAAGTACGCTCATTTGCTGACAATTTCCCTCCATGTTTTCACCCAGTCGCCTCACTCCTAACTAAATCTTTGCACTAGATGTTGAAAACCGGATTTTTCCGAACTGTATAAAGTGGGTTTGAAGCGTTACTGTACTACGTACAGTACGTGCTGTATATATCGATTGAGACGTGTACATAGAAGCACAGAAAAGCGCAGTTCGAACGTGCTTACGTTGTTTGAAGCCGATTTTGTTTTGAGTGGGAAGCACTCCATCGGAAGCCATTTCGTCGAAAAGATCCGCGCAATCTTACGATAACTTCGACGGGAGGGCTTCAGGGTTACGGTCAAGTGGGTTTCAGGCCACCAGGGAGTCTGCGGCAACGGCCTGTCCCACAACTCTGCGGAGGAAGTTTTAAGACAAATCCAGGAAAGTCGCCCAGGAGTGGCCAGCTCGGAAGCTAAACACGAACAACACTATGCCTAAGAGGAGGCGCTACAGCTTGCGGAGAAGGAACGGAGAGAGGAGCTCCAGCTCCTGATTCCGGAGGAGGAAGACCCGGTCCCCCTTTGGCTACATCCAGAGGGCGGCCGTTCGACTCCGAAGGATATGGACCGGCGCCGCTGTCTCCTCATACAAGCGAGCACTCATAAAGAAGAAACCCGAGGATTGTCGCTGCACTCAGTGTCCCCAGAAGGGTTTGAGACACCAACTATTTAAACTCCGGTACCTCCTTTGGCAATGCCTGGTGCTACAAAAGCATCGGCACACCGCGTAAGCACAGCTACCTGAAGACATAAAAAGCTTACGAGTCAACCCCTCTAGGCTTACCCTACTGGGCTTTCACAACACCGAAAAGCGGCCCTACACTCGATTCTCGCGTATACATGCGGAAGGCGCGCCTCCAGGCCTGAGTCTAACTCCCTTTTCTTTCCACCTGATGCCGCTAGGCGAGAGAGGGGTCACACCTATTAAATCACATGTTTTCAATTCACTTCTTTTGTATAGAAGTCATGGGTCGATGGATCCTATTTTGACCGTTTATCCCCGGGCCAATAATAATAGGCAGTTTTCGTAGATCCTGTCCGTCGTGCTTTCAATGCTCTTCACAACCCGCTAGCAGTTCTTGAGCTCTGCAGATAATTCTAGCAGCGCCCGTGCGAATTGGTGGCGTCTTCGTTGCAAAAAACAGTCCATAAAATCTCTTTAATAAAAGGAACCAATAAATGATACTGACTCCGAATTTCACAAACTCCTCAGTATGAACAATGAAAACACATGTTCAAAAAAAGCTTTTTTTTTTTTCTCATAAATTTACGCAATTGTTTTCTCTTCTCCCTTGTTATGCCTGTGATTATAATCGAAATCCTGCGGTGATCAGTCGGGTGCCAATGGAGCCTTATTACCAAATTCCACTTACCAGCCGGCTCTTCCTATTTATACATAATTCCTTTAGCAAGGTGCTACTCATAAGTGGGATACAAGCGTTACATGAGAGCTCTGCTCAGTTTTTGGGGCTTCTACGCAGTACCTCCTAAGCCATTGAATGGCTGCTACGTCTCTAGCATATGCTAACTGCCGTCGCTTTTTAAGCCATAGAAATTATGAAATAGTCTTTGTTCCACACTGGCGAAAAACATGGCAGCAGTGAAATGTAGCCACATGTCTATTTAAGATGTTTGTTTTAATAACATTTGCAACGTTCAGATGCAGAGACGCGTGTCTATGCTGTCTAACAGAGTTCGTGTAAGGACAATAATTGAAAGATGCCGAGAGTTACTGAAGAAACATGATGCATATATCAGGTTCTAAAGCGGACGGGCTATATACAGGGGTTTTGAGGGTAACAGCGCTAAAAACAAGGGACAAATAAAAGAAACGAACAACACCGAGCCGCTTTCTTTTTCGTTTCTTTTCTCTTTTTCGTTTATTTTACGTGTCCGTTGTTTTTTAGAGCTTTTACCCTCAAAAACATGAATCACCAACTAGCCCAAGTCCATACCCTTTTATATACTATAAATGGCGAAACTGAGCATGACGCTTAATGTACTAAGAGCTTCTCATAGATCACAATTTTAGGAAAACAGATTTCCGTGCCCTTCGGAAAACGAGGGGTTAGTTAGTGTTAGTGAAATAGGAGGACGTCAGCCTAAGTTTCGTCCCTATAGGCTCGAGTATTTGGTTGCATGCGTACTTTATGAAGAATATATCAGCTCGGAATAAGACTAAAAGTTGTGCAAATTTTTCGCAACATTCCATCTGCTATTGTGATGCTAGCTAGCATGGACGAAACAGTTTTTGCAAGCCATATTTGAGCGTTTTGTGGAAAGCACTGATGAAGCTTGCGCACGCGCGAATAATCGAAAATATTTTTACACTTCCAACTACTTCTTATGAACGTGTTGAAAATTAGATTATGACAGATTTCGTCTCAAATCAAAAAATTGTTTTTGTTAAGATAAGAAAAATCACACTACACGTCAATATTACAAATACTTCGGAATTTACGGTCAACTATTTTACCATATCTCGCCGTGCATGTTCAATAGTTACGTACCAAGTTCATAAAAGCTGTGCCCTTAGGTACAGTGGCCCAATTTTTTTTAATAATATCAAGCAAGCGTCGACCGCCGGGACAGCCAGCGCTGTGCCGCGTAAAAATGCGGTGTCACGGGAGGGATTAAGCGCGTGCGCACAAAGCTCTTTCTGTTCCGAGCGTCTTCTGCTAGGCTATTCCGTGGACCGCACACAACCCCTGTTCATTATTTGCTGGCATAGCAAACCGCCTCTAAGCAAAGATCTGGGCCCGTTTGCTCGAAGCACTAACCGCGGCTAAAGTTAGCCGCAGTACCTAGGAGGGGGATTTTGAGATCACGTGACTGGCTCGGTAGGGATGCAGGGAAACATGGCGGTGGTCCAGTGAGTGAGCGCCGCTCGCTTTGGAACTAATGGGTCGTTGTGGTTGCAATATCGGGCGCGCTAGTCAGCAACGAATGGTGCAGGAGGCTTTCGCTTTGCCTTACCTCACTTAAACCGCAAAGCATGGGCAATGACATCGCCGCATTTTTTAGATAGTGTTTCGATTCTGGGCACTCCTAAGCCTAAATGAACGCGATAATTGTCGGCATTGCAACGTCTTTGGAAAGCGGATTGTTGATAGCACACAAAAGCAGACATCGTCCCAACACACCTTTTTTTCTAAATTATCCAAGCACCGAGGTGCATGCTACGACTGTAGTTGCACGCGTCGCACGTGCTGGCGTCTACAGTAGTAACCGTTCTAAAGCAAAAAGTATAAAACAAGTTTTGCCTTGCACGCGCGTTCGTCAACGCCTTATTATGATTTTTTACTTCAAATCTTTTATAAGAGGAAGGCCAGCGCGCGTGAACCGTAGAATTACACTTACAGCGCTCTCCTCGCGATGCTTGTATAATTTAGAAAAAAGTATGTCAGGACGCTGTCTGCTTTTGTGTGCTATCAACACTCCGCTTTCCAAAAACGTTGCCATGCCGACAATAAAGCGTTCATTTAGGCTTAGGAATGCCCAGAATCGAAACACTATCTAAAAAATGTGGCGATGTCATTGCCCATGCTTTGCGGTTTAAGTGAGGTAAGGCAAAGCGAAAGCCTCCTGCATTATTCGTTGCTGACTAACGCGCCCGATATTGCAGCTACAACGACATATTAGCTCCAAAGCGACCGGCGCTCACCCACTGGGGCACCGCCATGTTTCCCCGCATCCCTACCGAGCCAGTCCCGTGATCTCAAAATCCCTGTCCTAGGTATTGCGGCTAACTTTAGCCGCGGTTAGCGCTTCGAGCAAACGGGCCCTGAACAGCGCTTGCTTGTGTGATACTGCTCAGGCGTGGCATAAACCGCGCGTAATCTCGAGTTTAATTTACTTTTTTTGCTCAATTTATGTTTGCGCTTACTTTTGTGAACACCAACGAAAACGAAAAATACTGTGACGCGAAAAACTGAATGCAACGATGCATTAAACTATATATCGCAGACAATGCTACGAGGCATCAAAACCAATCCAGTGCTTGCACCCTTCCACGTGACATCGTGCTTCCCTGTGCAGTTGTACGGAACGGGAGGGCTACGTGACACACTTTTAGCGATGGACTGGCCAAGATAACTCGTAGCGTCGGCTGCGGTACAACGCAAAGGGAAACGGAGTATAGACAGGGTTTCCGCCTGGTGTTTTGTATTATCAACTGCGTTGTTACTGTCGTCATCTTGCCTATGTAGCCGGAAAGTCACACTTTTCTTTGACCAGCGGGTGCCCGCACATTTTTTGTGTCTCCTCGAGGGCCCATAAACACACGGGAACGTGTTGTGAGAATGTCGATGGGCGGCATGACGCAAAGGAGTATAAACAACAGTGGAGGTTACACAGGCTAACGTCTATAGGATTTTGCACGCATTTCAAGAGGAGGAGTGTATCGGCGATGCACTTCGACATTGCAAGCGCACTGCCCTCCTTTGATACGGAGCAGGGCCTGTGTGTGATCAACGGAATAGCCTAGAAGACGACGCTCGAACCAGAATGAGAATTGTGCGCACGCGCTTAATCTCTCCCGTGACGTCGCATTTTTCCGCGGCGCAGCGCTGGCCGTCTCGGCGGTCGACGCTCGCTTGATATTATTAAAAAACTGGGCCACTGTACATTTTTTAATTAAACAGATTGTCAGGCTCACTAATGTATTCAGACTTCTTTGGCTTCCTAAATGATAGTCACGGATTTTGTTTCGAAGGAGATCGAGTATCATTTCTGTTACTATTTCGAACATATGTTTTTCTCATTGCATTTTATGTTGGCCGTTTACATTGTATAATACCTTGGAAGTATCTTGCCATCCTTTCTGCCCTAATTTTAGCGTCACAACATAGAAAATGAGCCTCTCCAATCACGTTCCTCAATCAGCCATGCGGAAAGGTATTAAAAGGGATTTACGTAAGTAGCATAACGGTATGACCACAACGACATTTCCTTGAAGAGCATTGCCAGTTAGCAATCAAAATATAAGGCTTTATACTAGACCCATACTAAAGCAATTGGGCAAAGACTTTACTGATTAAAAAGCTAGTTGTAGTCCTATTTAAATCAAGCTTACTTTGAAACTTTCAGAAAACGTTAACTCTCTAAAAAGTGCCACGCAAGCTCGGTTATTCGTCTTTAACACTAGTTGCAAAACAACATTTCTTCTCTTTTGCAGGTTGTATCTTATTCATCCGAGAAAAAAGTGCAACTTGCGATGAATGTCATAAAGAATGCGAAGACATTTATGAAGAAAACTGCAACATGACTCTGGAACGATCTCCGTATCGTAGCACCTGCCAGAAAGAAATAGCTCCTCAATGTTGAGACTGCTACTTTGGTTTGAACAGCGATTAAAAAGATTTAGCAAACAACTGAGGCATTCAGATATTTTAAAAAATACATATTTACCTGTTAGATCCAAAATTAGCATTTTCTCTGACTTTTTGTGTCATATTCATTGACCGCCGAACCCACCGAACTTCTCGCTTATATCAAAGATGCCCCCAATATATGTATTTGTTTCATGGAAATTAAAGATTAGACACCTCTTTTCTGTTTGATTTGGGATGAACTTCACCCATGGATTTACCCTAACCGAGGTCGAGGGACAGCGTGTGCACATGCGCAGAGGCTTATTGAAAATTTTTCATTTACGCAGTGGGTGCGTGAGAATTTATTTTATTTTAATTTATGCAGAGTTTCACAGGTGCAGTAGTTATTTATACGAACACGTTCCGTTAGAAGTCTTGAAAGGCCGAACGGTAACATTTAGCTAAGAAGTCATCAACATAACATTGAGGAATAAACTTCGTCATGAAGTACGGATTCCCGCACAAGGAGGCCTGACATTCATGAACGAGGATTTTGTACTGCCGGAAGCTTTACAATTGAATAGTCTTCCTTATAGCTTGAAAGGTCGAACGGTAGATTCTAAGAAACCACCAACATAATGTCGAAAGAAAAACTACGTCATAAACTGCGAATTCCGGCACTGAAGACCTGACATTTATGAACGAGGATTTTGTATTGCCGGAAACTCTAGCATTGTATAGACTTTCTATTAGTTATGTTGTTTTTTTTGTTGCTTTTGGGTGTGTTCTAGATAAGGACAGTCATGGTGGTGTCAAGCCTATTTTTTTGCTTTCAATTCAATTTTTACATGAGGTAGCGAAACCTATCCACACAACGGCACGGACCTTACTTTTTCTCGATATTTCTTTGTATTCGCGATAAAAATCGCATTCGAGAGAAGGTTGAAAAAACGATTTTCCCAACTGCGCGATGACACAACTTTGAAGGCCGGAGGAATAAAAAATGCAGTTATCTACACCGTCAAAGTCTTTACGTTGAATGCACGCATAGCTTTCCGTCAGAAGTAGTTGAAGTTAACTTATAGGAGCAATTAGTTCAAGCGTAATAAAATGCCAAGCTTGGCTTCTGGAGCAAATCTCACATAATGAGGCATTTTTCGGCGAATTTTTAGGTCACTTTAAATTTATATTCTAAAATTGAAACTTTTTGTGCCGAGTGTTTCATGCTTTGTAAGCTTTTAACAAATTGATTAGAGTTTTACTGTTGAAAGTGTTTTCTGCATTGCGCCCGGAAATTTAGTCAAAATCGAAACGGACAAAATTTTGCGATTTTTGTATGGCATTTAAATAAAAAACAATCATTCTTGATTTTCTTTCAATTTTATCCGATGGACCCTGGACGACTGGTAATCGCAAATCTGCAAAGACGTGTAGCATTGTTGTGTGTTAAAACAAAAACCGCATCTCCACGTGGTGAATGACGTTGATTGGGGCGAAGCTCTTGTAGTGCTTGTCTGCGTAGACGCTGAGCCGCAGCATGCCGAGCCTTTCGTTCGTTTTCATTCATGTCACGCTGCGGTCAAATGCTCAAATGCGTATATAACCACGTTCCATACCGCACATTCTCTTTCTGACATGTATGAAAACGAACGAAAGGCTCGGCATGCTGCGGCTCACCGTCTACGCAGACAAGCACCACCGGAGCTTCGCCCCAGTCAACATCATTCACCACTTGGAGATGCGGTTGTTTTTATTTTTTTTTTTTGTTTTGTTTTGTTTTGTTTTGTTTTGTTTTTTTGCCCTAGACGAGCACGGGAGCACGTGCTCACGTGCTGTGAGCACGAGCACCCAACGCCGGACATTGGACGGACATACGGACATGGCTAGCCTCTTAGGAGCTTCGCCCCTAAAATAAAATAATGCCGCGTGCGCAGCTGGCCAAGTAGGCAGCGCGCGCTTGGACTAACTTTGAGTCATGGCCAGCGATGCAAGTCGCTTTAAGAAACTATATGGTAAAAAGAGGAACATTTAAGCACTAGACATTGTATAATGTTCAAACCTCTATGTGAATGTACCGGGTTATGCATATGTAATAACGTCTCATTTTGTGCGAGTGCTCTTTGGCCAAGGTGGCCCTCTGTAATGCTTTTAATATGTAAATAAACACATTTTACAAAAAAAAAAAAAAAAAAAAAAAAAAGCGCGCGCTTGGACTAACGGTTATCGCGCTTACTTTCCACGCTGAAAGCCAGGGTTCGATTCCTGGCCACGGAGGCGCATTTTTGTTGACACTGTAATGTGATGTTCTGGTGAATTCGAAAACCGTCTTGCTGATTCGAGGTTAGAATGTTCCACGCGCCGAACCTTCTGCGCAGAACGATCCAGAAAGCCACGAGGGTACATAAGGGATTCCGCAAGGCGAGCGGAGTCAGTTTCGCCCCAGCGTTCGACTCTGCTTTTTCGCCGTCTTCGACGCCCGCGACGCTCTGCTGTTATCTTGTTTCCTATTTTATTTCTTGGGCACAAGTTCGCCCCAGTAAACGTTTCAGTTTCCTCAGTTATTCTTTGTTTCCTCTTTTGTTCCTTCGTGACAATAAATGTGTAACCAGGTCGTGGTCGCAACAATTACCGCTGGAGCGTCCTAACGACTAGTGGTACAGGGGTAAGGCATGCCACAGTATCCGCACTTCGTCATATTAATGCCCAGGCGCGATGAAGCACTCGAAAAATAGCACGTGAACTTGTTTTCATCGCTTAAGTAGCTGATATTGCCAATGAATACTGAACTTTACGGAACGTCCGATCCTTATTAGTGTGTTATACTTGGCTGGTTAGATGCTCATCGTGCTATCTTTTCAGACTAGTTCTTTAATATGAGTACTTGGCAGACAAAACAATTTGATCCGTCGTTCTAGGCACCACTAGGACGGAGCGATGTTACGGAAGCTATTGGCCCGACCAATGGAGGGCGTGGCGTAAACGGAAGGTTAAATCTGGTGGCATATTATGGCATTGTAACGCATGTTGTAGCTAAGCTCTAAGCAGGAGCATAATTGAAGACGGCGCCGGAGGAAAATAGGCGTTTCTTGGTGCAGACTTGCCAACAAAATAAGTGGCAACCCCTTTATTGGCAAGACCTTACCGTTGTGCAGACCGGTCGTCTGGTCAGCAGATATTTTTTTTCTTTTCTATTTATAGTGAACCACGAACCTTTGCGCGCGTGACGGCTTAAGACATTCGGTGGCGGCGCTAGCTGATTCCCACCAAGAGCGTTCTAATTGCCAATAAACATCTGCAGGTGTTTGCACTCCATGACCCTCTTGGGATTTCATACAAATATTTTCTTACGTCGATAACTTTCTTGGCCCCCTCAACCCAGTCACAGATCATAAGTTTTTTGATCACGGAAGAGGCGTCGCAAAAGGTCCTGTTGAAGCGACGTAGTAGCGGCCGAGTGCACACTTAACGGTTGCCTCCGACGCTGAGCCGCTTACGCTGCCTAAATCTCCCCTAACTCAACCTTGATTTTCACTCATTCGCCATTGTTTTTCGAGACATATCCTGTTATCGTTCCGCCCTAGCCACGCCCGCCATCGGTCGGGGCAAAACTTCCGCAATGTCGCTCGTTCAAGCGATGCATGGAGAAATGGATGAAACTATTTTGTCAGCATGCTTTCGAGCGGTGTCCAAAGATACGAATCAAATTATTTTGTCAACCAGGTACTAATATTAATGTGCTAACGTAAAATGGTAGCACAATGAACATCTAACCAGCCAAGTATAACACCCTAATAAGGATGGGGGATCGGTGGCCGAGTGGTCTAGCGCACACCAGCTCGGAGCACGTGGAGCGAAAGCTCGCGCTTCCCGTTTCGCCCCTGCCCGTTTCGATCTGGATGACCATCTTATATCGGCGTGCGGTCGTGTCATGTTAGCGTGTTATTTGTAGTGTACTTCGTGGTGCCTGGGCATTCATATGACCAAGTGTGGATACTGTGGCATGCGTCACTCGTGTACCACTAGTCGTTAAGACAGAAACGCCCCAGAGGTAATTGATGCGAGCACGACCTGGTTGTACGCTAATTGTTTTTTAACAAAACAATGCGACATGTTTTTTTTTCAGATTTGTAATTACCGGCCATCAAAGGCCACCGGGTAAAACTTTAAAAAAAAAATCGAGAATCAATTGTTTGTTTTTTTTAATTTTTCGCACAAAAATTGCAAAATTTTTACTTTTTCGATTTTGACGAAATTTCCGGGCGCAATGCGGAAAACATTTTCGACAGTAGAACGCCAATTATTTGTTATACGTTCACAAATTATGAAATACTCGACACAAAAAGTTTCAGCTTTAGAATATACGTTTTAAGCGACTTAAAAATTCGCCGAAAAATGCCTTATTATGAAAGATTTGCTCCAGAAGCCAAGTTTGGCATTTATTTCGATTGAAATATATGCTCATATAAGTTACCTTTAACTAATTCTAGTAGAAAAGTATGCGTGCACGAAACGTAAAAACTTTGACGGTGTAGAAAGCTGCATTCTTTATTCCTCCGGCCTTCAAAGTTGCGTCATCGCGCAGTTGGGAAAATCGTTGTTTCAACCTTCTCTCGAATGCGATTTTTCTCACGAATACCAGGAAGTATCTTGCAAAAGTAAGATCTGTCCCAATGTGTCGACAGGTTTCGCAACCTCATACAAACATTTAATTAAAAACAAAAAAAATAAGCATGATACCACCATGACCGTCCTTATCTGAACGCACCGTTTTTTTTGTTTTTTTTTATTAAAGGCCGGCGCATAGTGTAGACTTTTCCCACAAGTAAGTGACCCCATTAATTGCTAGTATCCGGCGGCACGCACAGTCGTATACCGCGACTATGCGTATAAGAACTCTCGTGCGAAGTCCAACCGCCGACCGTGGCACCAAGGCCGCTCCCACGGATGAAGTTACACGGAGACGGCTGTTACTAGCAGTGTTGCCAATTTAGCGGTTTTTGGTTCTGTTTAGCG